GAGACAGGTCGTAATCCCACCTAAATAATGCAACTATTTGCACACAACTTAAAACACAAACATAAAGATAAGGTAAGGCCTAATTCCACCTAAATAATGCAACTATCTTGCACATGACTTGAAATACACTGACCCCTTTCCCAAAAGGCAAGGTCTTGTGTGATGTTCAATCCTCTTGTCCTGACATCTCACAACTTAAATATTATGACACAAAAGACTTTCATAACTTTTTTTCAAAATATTTCATTATTATTTTTATAATAATTGCCTGTATTGCCCGCATGTAGGCGAGTGCACCCGTGTCATGCAATGGCCACGGAGGACAGAAGAGGCTATCGGATCCCTCGAACTGGAGTTACGGACAGTTGTTAGCTGCCACGTGGGTGCTGGGATTCGAACCCGGGTCTTCTGCAAGAACATCCAGTGTTCTTAACCACTGAGCCATCTCTCCAGACCCGACTTTCATAATCTTTATAAAGTCAACACTCTCTCATCTTACGTAGAAAGGGAACAAAGTAAGAAACCAAAGACCTTTGTACTTACTGCACATGTTAAGAAAACACACATGAAAATTACAAATCTTGCTTCTGTGCCTGGCCACATGGCCGTGGCGGGTATCTGTGCCTGCCTTCATTAGCCCCACCCACATTCCCTTTGCCTTCAGGAAGAGCCCCAAACACCCTAGGCCATAACAGTGCTGGCTGGTTCAAGTTGTGCCGATCTGTCGACCTCAAGCATAGAGTGTAGGAAGCACCCCCCACCCAAGGGAAGCCCCTAGATCCCAGAAACCTCTTCCTCACCTCCACGTCCTCCTTGGCAGGACTCATCACTCTGTCCTGTGCCTGCTGATGCGGAGGTATGTAGAGTCCAACGTGGCCCAGGGGAAGCCTTAGCTTCCACTGGGCAGCTACTGTCTGTGGTAGAAGAAACCCCCTCTCTGATCTAGGACATCTAGACCAGCAAGGTAAAATGTGGGAACTAGACTGGAACAGGAAGTCAGGCTTTGCTAATGGCTCATTCGATGACACTGTCATCCCATCCCCACCCCATGATTTCTAGAACCTGTGACCCCCCAAAACAGAATAGTACCATATACGAGATGCTGAGGAAGGACAGATGTAGCCCCTGGGGACTCCTGCCTGGGCGTCCAAGGCTTAGCCACGAGGTCGACATTCTAACTGAGTCTTGGAGAGACCATTCCTCTATTCTATCAGGCACCTGACTTTGGACAGTATGGAACATGGTTCAAGACCAGTGAACCCTAAAAGCCTGGGCCCCCTGTCACATTCCTTGGAAATTACATGAGTCCTTGGTCAGACTGGCCATGAAGCAATTCACTGATAGGCAATGGCTGTGTGGGGTATCACAGGGGTGGCTAAGCATTCTGTAAGCCATGCATGAGTTTTCCCAGAAGACTTGCACAGAGGACGGAAGACCACGGAAGAGGAACATCCCCATCAGGATCCTTCCAAAGAGAACAAACCCTGCCCTTTCCATAATGGAAGTGGTTCAGTGTAACCACCTACACCAGGAAGCTGGCTGACCATCCTGGGGGAGTGGTGCCATGTCAGGGCTTCCGTGCTGGTGGGTGCAGCTGGCAAATTGGACATTTAGCAGTGGTCACACACAGGTCAGCCTTACTGAGTGGAAATCCATAGTGCTAAGACATGCCTGAGGTCCGTCTCCTCCGACATGACCATATTGGACCCACTGAAGCCTGGCACAGGCAGGGGAAGAGGCTGGCACACCATGCATGGATTTATTCCTACATGGATGACAGGCCAGAAAACAGGATGTCCTGTCCACACAATCATTCAAGTCTTCCTCTGCAGACGTGACTCCTTGGCGAACACTACATACAACAGTGTCTTCAGGATGCCCGCCCACTGGGACGGGTCTGTTCACTCACCTCTTTCCCAACCTTCCCTCCATCAGCTGTCAATTCCTGTTCTTTCTTGATCTCTGCCCATCTAGCCAAAGCCTTGGCCACAAGTCATAAATCAATACGGAAACACACACCAGGCACTTCCCCTTCTGGGCAAAGTAAGCGGCCGACACAGTGTTCACTGCTATGTCCTGTGGGAGGCTTTCCCAGACCACTATACAGATGTGCCCAGTGGCACTGCAGTGCGGCAGACAGGCACTCTGGAGTAGGGCCTGTACACCTACAGACAGGCCTGAGTCTTGTCTTTTGCTGTCAAATGAGGCCAGGAAATTCCCTACGAGGGCAGAAGTGCATGCTGGGTGGGAGGACAGTCAATGTGGCAGAGTGTGTGCCATGGGCATCAGGACATGTCTTCTTGGAGCATGCACACGCCTCCAGGGCCTGATCACAAGTGTGGTGACTCCTGTGTAGTGACAGAGCTCTGCCAGAGAAGACTGATCACAAGTGCCCACTCCTGTGTGGCGATGATGAAGTGTCCTCACACATGCTCTGTGCTTTATCTTTAAGGGCTCAGGAGGCTTTAATGTAGTGACAGACCTAGATGCAGACAGTTGGCCGGGGAGGTTCTGAGCAGAATCAGCATGGTCTTGTGTGAGTTTTCCTCCAAAAGACCAGAATTAATCCCTCAAAAAAGACATTATGAGAGCCCTCCACTGGGAAGCGGGACTGGCTCTTCAAACGACAAGGAAGACCCACTGCATTCCCGGGCTCGACAACCCAACCGTCGTCGGGGTTTGCTGCATCTCCCCACCCCACCTTTCGGGTGACCACAAGTACACTCTTACAAGTGCACTCAGGGTGGCACTGCCATGGACCCCATTCCAACTCTAAGGTCACACCCACCGCTGTTCCATCAAAACCAGCACCCTACCACTGCGTGCCTATTTGAACCACTCTCACAGACCTGACTGTGATGTCCCTGAAGACCCAAAGTAGCATCTACTGCAGATCCCCAGGGCCCAGCAGGCACCTGAAACTTCCCTGGAGGCTCAGCCAGGACTGCTGGGCTGAACAGCACTTCTCAAAGCATCTCCACCTCCCACTGTTCAACCTTCAGACTCCGCTTTTGACAGTTCTCAGTCTCGTTCATGCCCCTAGGGGCCTGGCCTGAGATGTCATGTCTCTTTAAAAGCAGACTTGCCCACCAAGAGAAACAAGGCACTGGCTTGCTCACATTTTTCCAAGATGATATAAAACGCACTCTAACCACTAATTTTCATTTCCCCTTGAATTAAAAATACCAGAATCCTCAGCACATATTTTTCATCTGATTCTGACTTTGGTATGAATCACCTGTAATTTTTTCTCCTCGGCACCTCCTAACTGAGTATCAACTCTAATAAAACTTCTAATGGAGAGACCCTCTAATCTAGCCAACAGAGCACACTTCTTCTTTCCTGTTACAGAAAAAGATCCATATGTGAAGGGCACCTTCATCTCTTCTTTCTCTCCTGATGGATGACAAGCCTGACCAACCCAACACTCCTCAGTGTGACCCTCTGCACCACTGTGACGACCAGGTGAGCCAAGGTTTCCCACAGCAAGCCAGGGCTCTTGGCTTTCTTATACAGAAGGTCAGTCCTACAGAAATGCTAACTGGCCTATTCTTCTGCTAAATTAATGTAATTAAACTCAAAAAATGTTACGTCCTGGGAGGCAGGCATGGCAGTCACTGTTATTTGTGTATGTCCCTTTCCTTTATTTTTTTTCTTTTTTAATTTTTTTATTATTTTTATTTTATATGTATGCGTGTATTGCCTGCATGTAGGTAAGTGCACCCATGTCAAGCAATGCCCGCGGAGGTCAGAAGAGGCTGTTGGATCCCCTGGGACTGGAGTTACAGACAGTTGTTAGCTGCCATGCGGGTGCTGGGACTCAAACCCAGGTCTTCTGCAAGAACAACCAGTGTCCTTAACCACTGAGCCATCTCTCCAGCCCTTTCCTTGCATATCTGAATTCCTTAAAATTGTGTGTAAGTCTTGGGCTGATGCTTTTGTATTTTACATTGGCAGCTGCAGCAACTTTAAAGTGAGACTCTGGCAATAACATGAACCAGCCAAACACAGGACATTGGCATGGTAAGAAAGAAATACCCAGCTACAAAATCCACGTGATTCAGATGTCATGGGGGAAGAGTAAGAAAGGCCCAGGCCAGGGCGACCTAGCAAGTCTCCCGTAAGTAACATAAGCAGTCCCTGCACCCTCAGGTAGAGACGACTGTGGAAATCTGAACTCCTAATGGCACAGCTTCCCAGGAGCTGTCAATGTCACTGTAAGAAGCAGGTCAGGACAGGCCAGTGTGCAATGGAAAAGCAGCTTTCTTAATTACAACATCTGCAAACCATTTATGTCTGCCTCAACTACAAAAGGAAACAAATTAAACAGAGCACATAAAGCCTGGCACTCACTGTGCCCAGCATTCACTGTGAAGAACCCAAAGACACAACAGTCACCTCCGAACGCCACTTCTGAACGCCACCTCCGTACCCAGCCGCTGCAGCAGCAATGCCGAGCTGCACCTACAGCACTGGACCCTCCTATGCTCAACTGTGACATGCAGATACTACATGTTGCACTCTGAGTTACCTTCACTCAGCAAAACAGTGAAAAGTACGCACACACATCCAGGTATGTGCACCAAATAAGGAAATCACTGGGGCTGCTGCCTCCTACACTGGGAACTCTTACACAGAAAACCCCACTTCCCCAGGCAGCTGCTCAGGCACAGGGTACAACACACATGAATGTTGGTTCCATTTTCCTACTCTTTTTTGGCAAAGTCATTCCAGCAATCCAACCACCTTTCCAGCTGCAACCCACGAACATGAACAGCAGCACTCGTGCTGACACAGCCACCCAAAGACAGAGGGGCTCTGGTTCGAGCACAGCCACCCGAAGACACAGGAGCTCTGGTCCAGCTGTGTCTCACTCAGGTATAGCACTTACCGCAGTGAAGCTGCTCCTTTCAATTAGCTGTTTAACCTTTCTGCATTTAGATTCCTCACTACGCTGGCCGCCATCCTAAAGACTGGCGCACACCACGGGTGTCACTTACCCTGTGGCCTCGAGGTATGCGGAAGACAGCAATTATGCTACGTAGTTTCAACGCACATATCTGATTGGGATAACCCACAAAGGAGCCTTCATGAAGCTGGAATGTACAGGGGATGAAGCAGAGGCGAGGAGACGAGAACTGAGGCACAGCAACACTAGGAAGGAGCCGAACCACAAACAGCACATGTCTTCACGACTGCAGTAAGGATAGCGGAAAACCATCAGTCAGCTTTCTCAGAGCACTGGAACCTACTCGAAGTCTTGCAACAATACAGAGAGCAAGCCTTCAGGAGCCATTGCTGAATCTGGTGTGAACAGCAAGCTGTTTCCTGTTACCCTCCATCCTCAACCCTTTTCTCCCCAGCACTCTGAGAACCTGGAAACGCAACGCATCCAGATCACCATCATCTCCAGCAGCCACCTGAGGGGCGTAACGGGGTGGGGAATCCTCCCGTGCCCCCTTCTCAGAAACAGCTTGCGGTTCTTGGCCCATCCTGGAAATGCCACTCCCGTGCCTATCTGTGCTTGATATGACCCGAGCTTGCCAAGTGAGTAACCAAAATGGCCTCTGTCAAAAACGGGGCCTACTGCTTAAAATCACAGCTGAGGGGGTGGTGATGGCCACACACACAAGCTGAAGTGGTGAGAGAAAAGCGGAGCAGTGAGACGTTCATAAGGCACTTTGAGAAATCTGGCGTGTTTCGGAAAATCCAAAATGCCAACCTCATGCATCATGCTCTATGTATGCGAGGGAAGGAGGGAGGGAGGGAAAGTGGGGAGGAGATGGGAGAGAGAGAGACCGAGAAAACCCAGCATTTGCCCAGCCTCTGCACAGTAAGAAATGCAAGCAAAGGCCAAGTTGCAAACTTGCAACATCATGCAGAGACCCTTGGAAGGCGAGGAGGTGAGCTCATTCTAGGCATTACGAGGAATCATATCATCCAGCTGTGTCTGGCTAGCACACAAAGGAAAGGTTTCAATGGCCACACATAAATAAGGGCACAAGAGCTCACAGAGGCCCAAGGATGTTACCACGCAAACCAAAAGCAACAAGAACGAGTTAGAGAAAGACCCACATCTCCAGGCTTAGCACACTTAGTATTTTTTAAATGTCTGGTTTTCAGCAAATTAATGTGTGGCACACAATGAATAAGAAAGCACAGTGCGTGCGGATGCGAAGACATACCCGGCAGACATCAGTGCTATGACAGTCCACACACTGGATCTCCTGCACATCCCTCAAAACTCAGCAACTTTGCACATGTCACTACGAAGGAGCTGTTCCTGCAACAGCATCCACAAGAGGCTCCTTCTTTATCTGCACCGCCCATCACTACTGCTCTTTCCAAAGCACTGTATTTACTCACTCTGCTGTGCCAGTTCTCCTGCCAACACACTGAATGGTCCCCACAAGCATCCAGTATGGTCCGTGGGCTTCAGCATGTTGCTTAGTCACATATATATGTTCTGTTTTTAAAATATAAATATATTCTTAAAATAAATTAAAATGTATATAGTTATTGTTCAAAAACTAAAAAGAAAAACTGGCTGTCAAATTTTTGTACTCTCAGAGTTAGTGCAACCCATGTCTTCTTAAAATAAAAAAAGAAAACTAATAGACTGAAATACGCAGGTCTAACGTTAATTTCTGACAATAAAAACATAATGCATTTGGTGTATCAGTATGACACAGTAGCCTACAACCATTACAATTAAACTATAAAAAAAAAAAAATGCCTGAAATAGCCAGGCGTGGTGGCACACATCTTTAGTCCCAGGGCTAAAGAGGCAGGTGGATCACTGTGAGGTCAGGGCCAGCCTGGTCTACATAGTGAGTTCCAGGCCAGCTCGGGCTACAGGGACACCCTGTCTCAAAAAGACCAAAAAATAAAAAATAAAAAAAACCTGATGTATTTTGTACATTTTTATTAAAACTTTGTTTTTAAGACAGAGTCTCTCTATGTAGGCCTGCTGGCCTGGCACTTCACTATGTAGACCAGGCTGGTCTTGATCTCACAGTGAACTATCTGCCTCTGCCTTCCTAGCTCTAGGATTAAAGGCGTGCACCACAACGCCTAACTTAAATTTGCCTAACTTAAATTTTAAAAACTTTCAGCAAACCATGAGTCAAAGAGAACATCCACAATGTGATGAAAATGGTAAGGAGATAGACAAGACAGACATGGACGGAGATAAACCCTACTCGGTGTAAAAGACTGTACGCTTTCTCCATTAAAATAAATTTCCAGTCCAGAATGCCTCCCGAAACTTGTCACTCAGCGTAACTAGAGGGCTCAGCCAGTGCAACAAGAAAAAAGCAGCAGTTGGGAAAATATGAAGTAAAAGCAGCCTCTTTTGACAGAGTTCATGATATGTGGAAAATTCCAAGGACTCCACAAAAGCCTTGAGAGCACCAATAAAGAGCGGGTAACACTGTGGGATTCGGATGGGACAGAAACACGAATTTAGGTAAATAACTGGAAAGTTAAAGTTTAATGTTACCATTCACAATAGCACCAGATAAACACTAAAATTCAAAAACAAAATAGGTTTAAGATTTTTATGCCCAAAGCTGAAAAATAGTAAGAGAAATCTATGACCTGAGTAAACAGAGTAAGTATCCTATTAACGGATTAGAAAATAAGATTAAGAAGACAACTGACCCAAAGCGACCTGTAACAACGCAGTCCTCCAACCTCACCTCTGGGCTACAGAACACAGCAGCGCCTTCTAGGAGCTGGAGAAGAGGTGTTACAACACCTGAACCTACTGAGGAACAGCTGAGTTGGAGAATTCTGACTTCCTGACTTCAAAACAAACTACAGAACAGTGAGGTTTGGGGCAGAGGAGACGCCGTGACTGATCTCTCCCAAAAGTACCAAAAGAAACCAAAGGAAGTAAGAATGGCTTTTCAAGGTACCAGACCACCGAGATCGTGCACCCGTCAAAGGGGGCAGAAAGCACAGACCAGCAGAAAACACTTGCAACCGTCTCTATGATAAGGGACAGTGTCCAAACCGTATAAAACTCAGTCAATAAAAGCCTCAATTAAAATGGACAAAAAGATTTCAACAATCACCAAAGATGTGGCAAACAGCAGCACAGGAAAATGTTGCGCATATTATTTGACTGAAAATTTCAAATAAAAACACCACTGTGAGCTGGCCATGCCTATAATCCCAACCAGGAGTTCACCACCAGCCTCCACGCCATAAACTAGTTCTAGGCGGGTTTGGGTTAGACACCCTGCCTTAAAAAAAAAAAAAAAAGTCAAGAAAAATCAATGTCACCAGGAAATACCTACAAGAGCAGCTTAAGTGAATGCAAAATGCAGCACTTGAGCCACTGGCAGGCATGACACAAAGCACTACCTTGCAGGAAGGACTTTGAATTCTATAATGAAAACATGGCCTGGCTGCTTGGCCCCAAAATTCCTTCTCCGTATTTAACCAAAGGAAATGAAAGCCAAAGTCTCTTAAGACTTAGATATGAATGTACAAAACAAAACACTGCACAGTATTTACAGCAGCTTGATTCCTAAATACAGAATTTCGAAACACCCTAAATGCCTAACAACTGGTGAGTCACATAGTGAAATATTACCCTGTGTGTTAAAAGAAATACACTGACACAGGAATCAACATAGTGAATTAGAAAAGCATTCAGAGAGGAAACCAAGAACAAGCGGCTGCACTGAACTAACCCACTTCCACGACATGCCAGAAAACAGGGACAGAGGATAAATCCAGTTGCCTAGGTGGGGGAAGGGTACTTTCGGGGATGAGACAAATGCCTGGATTGTGGTGGTGTTAATGATCATGTGTGTATCGGGGTTTATACAATTTTTATTGTTTACTTGCTGTATGGTATACTCTTAACAGAACTGAATTTTAAAAGAAATGACCTATGCCCTCTGGGAAACCGGCATCAATTCCGATTCAAACCTGTTAAACCCAGCTCACTGAAGTGAGAGAACAGCGGAGAAACCATGAATCCTTCACATGTTTCAAGCCTAAAAGTATCATTAGTAAGAAACTGATATACGCTGATACAGAGTGGCCTTTTTAAAAGTTCACTGCTTAACAGAGGAGAAAATCGGGTCAGCTTTCAAGAGAGACCAAAAGTCACCAAGGAACAGGTTGGCAGAGGATTACTGATTGTGAACAACTGCTTTGAAGCAATTTAAATAGTCTTCCTCCATTTTCCTAAAGGGAAGAATCTCACCCCTCCCACTTGGCTACAGAGAGAGGGAGATAGGAGGGAGAGAGGGAGACCCTTCACAAAGTTTCTGTATCATCTAAAAAGTCTATATACTTTACAAATCTGGTAACAGCTGGTGAATCAACATAAAGTGACCCATTATTGAGTGTGTCCACCCAAGCTAGAGACAGATCAATGTCCATCTTTTCTACTGCCACAAAAGGAGGGGATGGGGGGGGGTTAAAAGCACTGACTGCTCTTACAGAGGAGCCGGGTTCGAATCCCAGCACCCACATTATCAGCTGACAATTGCCCCTAACTCCAGTTCCAGGGGATCCGACGCCCTCTTCTAACGTCCGAAGGCACTGCACGACATGGGTACACTTACATGCATGAAGACAATACACACATACACAGAAAATATTTTTTAAGGAGGTGGGGATGTTCCTCTGTGACTTCCTAAGCAGTTTTCTTTTCCTGTTAAGTATTAGGATGACTGAAAATTTTTTAAAATCCAGAACTTCTGGGCCAATAAGATGATCCATTTTTCCATTTAATAAAAGAGGTAAGTCTTAACTTTCATCATTTTATGTTTATTCATTTGGATTACGCTGTTGCTAAGCAACCAGCTCACCATTACATTTCCCAGCCCACAGGACCGCCTCCTAGCCGGCCAGGGCACAGCAGACTTCCTTCCCAGGGCAATTCTCCAACCAGTTATCTCACTAGCGGTGTCGACAGGTGCAGTCGCCCAGGCGCTTCCCTGCTCCTTCCCCCCAACAGGTGGAGCAGAGCAGCTAATCCCCTAAGGCAACCGAGGTGGAGCTGGCAAGCACTCATAAGTACTCTGCATCCTAGACGTGAGACCACCCCGGGACAAGATGCAACCCCTCCTCCAGGTCTCATGCACACTGATTCCAGCACAGTCCACCAATCCCGGTGGAGAGTACTGGAGCCGAGGAAATCTCGGTTCTGCAGGAGTTCGTCCGGAGCTGCTGAGTCACCTAAACTCAGGCCAAAAGCTTCGCCTCCAGGAAACGCTGCCGGGGCCGACCCCGCAGAGGAAGCGCGCGGCGGCACAAACACCCCCGGGCTGCTCGGGGCGGTCACTGCTTCCCACCGGAAGCAGAGCGTTTCCTGTGCAAAGCCGGCCTGGATGGGACCGGGCTGCCCAGGCGTCGTCGGTGGGGCTGGAGGTCGCTCTTCGCCCGGTTCCGGTCCCCGCTGGGAACCCGCAGGGCCGCTCGGCTGCCTCACGCGACCAGGCAGCCTTGCGGGGCTCCCGGAACCGCGGCAGGGTTTCAGCGCTGCGCCGAGACCGGAAAGAGTAACGTGGCCCAGCGCCGGCGGGAAACGCGGCGGGGTCAACACTTCCGTTCCGCGGGACCCGCGGCGGCACGGCCATCCACCACGCTGACCTGCGCGGACGGTCCACGGCTCTCCACCCGGGACCGCGCAGGGACGGGTCCACACGGACGAGGGCGGAAGCAGGAGGCAACCCCGAGCCCGGGACGAACCCGGATCCTCACGGGTTCCAGGCCCCGCGCCGTGCGGAAGCCCGTTCGTACCCCCGCCCGGGACGCCCTCCGCGCGGCTGAGACCCAGGCCCGAACCGCGAGCGCCATTTACCTGCTCCGCGCGCTGTTGGCGGGCCACCTCGGCTCTCGGACCCGTGGACTCGGACTCGGACCTGCGCCAGACCCCCTGGGGCGACGGCGGCCCCAGGAACCCAAATTGGGGCGGCCCACGCAGCACCCGGCGGCCAGGACCTCTGCACCGGAAGTTGATTTCTGCCAAGGCCCGCCCCGGCCTGCGTGTCGCTCACGTGACCCCAGGCTGAGGCCCCAGGTGAGCCTCGTCCCGGTAGCAGGTCATGGGGTGTTGGGCTGTACAGTGGATGGCCCTGAATACCGTACTGCTGATGACGCCTTCATTCATCCTGGGTCCAGGGCTGGGTTCCCAGTTCAAACCACCCACCAAGTCAGACCTAACCCCCATGCAGGATCCAACATGGGAACAGCATCCTGCTTGGGTGAGCCTCAAGAGAGACTGAAAGGGGGTGACTTACACAATCACCCAGACCTTCCCGGAGAAGCACCACCTGATGAGTACTTTCCCGCTTCCTGGACGTCCCTGGTTTTGTGCCTGATCCCCGCACACCTAACAACACCCACCAAACCAGACACTGCCTCCACCCAGGGCTCTAGAAGCACCTCCATCACCACTTCAGAGTTCCAAGAAAAGGGAGAACTGAGCAAAGTACCTGACAGAAGCGTTTGACCGGCATCTGATGCCCATCACCTTGGCAAATCTGAATTCAATATCCAGTACCCAGATGTGCCTGAACTAAAAGCCTGTTTAGATGGCTACTGACTGAAGATCTCTGCCCTAGGACTCAATTCCAGGCTCAACAGCTCATTTGTGTATGTTAAAAACAGTTGATTCAAGGGCCAGAGACATGCTCAGCGGTTAAGAGCACGGGCTGCTCTTGCAGAGGACCCAGGTTCAGTTCCCAGCACCACATGGTGGCTAACAACCATCCATGACTCCAGTTCAAGGGGATTTGACACCCTCTGTGGGCACTGCATAATGTGGGCACACTTATACATAAAATAAAAATAATAAAAGGTTTATTTCTTCAGCTGCTAAACCACCCTTTTTTTCCAAAGCCTTCAGTCAAGCAGCTTCTGAAGAAAAGAAAAAACTGGCAGACTTTTTTTTATTTGAAAGGAAGAGTGGTTATGTTTTTCCCTTTCAGACTGGCAAGCTATGTGGAAACAGTCAACAGGATGCCCTCTTGCTGAGGAGAATTTGGAGAACATTCACTTAACATTTTTTATTGAGTGTGTACCACCTACCCAGGACTTGTGAAATGGTAGCTGTCCAGAAGGGAACAGATATGCTCAAGATATTTTACTGTCCACCACCCTGGGTACTCAGAGCACGAATCTCAAGGCTACTCACATTCATTGTAAAGAAGGCACTCTTGAACATTGCAGGAATTATTTTTCTGTTTACATTGAATAAAACTGACTCAGCAATAGTCTCTTCACTGACACAAAATTGGAAGTATCAGCAAGCTCTCGATAAGCCCCCATTAAGCCCAGGTTCGGTGCTCAGGGATCACCTCCTCTGTACCCTTTTCCTTCCCACCCTGTTCTGTGTGCACACAATGTGTTCCTATGATAGGAATCTGATGCTTTCTTGCACCCATTTTTTTACCATCTTCTGGCAGAAGCAAGGACCGCTTCTCGTTTGTCTATGTAGCAGGCCGATCCCATCCCGCCTGGGGTGTCCAGCAGCCTAGGTTTTGGAGGGGAAAGGCACCCAGCGAGCATTTCTTCAACGTTCAATACCTGTCTGTCATCTTGTTTCTCAGATCACTTTTTGGCTTGAAACTTAGTGTCTGGAAAGTTCCATTGGAGCATTTACCTGATTACTTGGTCCCCCTTAGTCCAAAATTCAGTCCTGGATGGATTTATAGTGATCATACCACATTTGTGGCTTGCTACATGTGTAGCACTGGGGAAAATATCTGAACTCTATTGTGTTGTTATTAGACATTTAGGTACATTACTATGAGCACTCTTTAGATGAGAATGCAGATGTTGAAAGTGTAAATTAGCACACAGCAAAGCAAGATCTACAGCCAGATGTGCCCAACAGAATGATTAGTCCCCATGGCATACCACCTCTGCTTTACAAATCATTGTTTATCGGGGTATATGGATCTCACCTCCTCTATGAAATCCCCTCCCCAGGCATCTTTGTCTTATTTTTAAGTTTAGAGTCAATCTTTTGAAACACATTCACAGTTAAGCAGCTGACACTATCATCAATTTTTATATACTTCCTAACCTCCAAAAGACATTCCGTGCCCTTGGACAGTCGCCCTCCTCCATCTCTTCACAGCTCACCTCAGCCCTAGGCAACATTAATCTGCTTTCAGTCACACTTTTCCTTCCCCTTCATGTTAGTACGTGGGCTTGTACATCATGTATGCTCTTCTGTGCTAGTTCCCTTCACTTACCATCATGTTTTATTTTGTGAACATTCTACAAGGTTTGTGTCCAGGATTTCTTCTCTCTCAGGTATGCATTACACACAAGAATGGAATCGGTAGTGCCCATCCTGGAGCCATGTTTAACGGTTTTAGGAATGGCCACTCTTCTCCAGAGCTCCTGGACCCTTGTGCATTCCCACCACCAACAGGTGAGGCCTCTCATTTCTCTTCTGTGCCTTAATCTCTAGAATATGTACTCTGATGACTTCGAACAGTGCTTTCTACCAGCCCTCTGGTACTCCTGACTCTTTTGTGTCTACAGACCCATGGTCCTTACAAGTTGTGACTTGAGAAGCGTGGTACCTGCCCTCCAGAGGATCAGACAGAGCAAGACACAAATCAAAACTTCGACTGCACTGCATTGGGGGCACTGAGTGCCCTCAACCTGGCTAAGTGGGAGTATTCCTCATAGAATGGAAATACAAGTCCTGAAGAATCAGTAAAACCAGCCCTGCTAAGGAGAGACAGAAGTGTGTGCCAACCCAATGAACATGGACTTCTGGGTGTTTTCACATACCTGGAGCTCGGGGGTAAATAACTATAACCTGTAAGCAGGTAGAATGGATGTCAGGATGGTAGTCCTGGGGGTGGGGGAGGACTGTGGCACGTGTTGATGCAAAACAGCTTCCATTCCAGAGAGAATGAGACAGTTTATCCTGATCCAAATATGAGTGCTCATGGGCTGGGAACTCGGATTCAGGTAACCTCAGATGGCATAGTCCACTATGGGCACGATTCTATGAACTGTTCATAGTCACGGAACAGGAGACAGTCATTTCCCAGGTGCATTGTTGGCTGCATCACATAGGCAGGTTGCAGCAAAGCAGAGAAATCTGCTCTACGTTTCTGACATAACCTGATGATATTCTTAGCCTTTGGGTTGGTGGGAGCCAACCTGCTGCGTCACTACATCTACATCTTACCTTGTAGGAAGAAAGGATGTTGGATCATACAAAGATGGGTGATGAATGGTTATTAAGGCAGCAGAAGACAGCCTAAGATCATTTCGGTTCTAATCTGTAGCAGTCAACACTCCACAGTCAAGGCAGTTTTAATCAACCAGTCTTGGAACATCACATTACACAGGAAAAATGGGAACTGTAGAGGGGACCAGGATGAGGTAGAGTTTTGTGAACCATACAAAGGGGCTGGACTTCTATCCTGAAGGTGATAGAAAGCTTCGGGATTTCTTAAGGTCAGGGGACTTATTTCAGCAGAACTATGCAGGATGGATTGTTAGGTAGGGGAGAGGTGGCCAAGGCTGAACTAGAAACCAGCCAGAAGACGAACTAGCTGGTAGCCATGAAGTTGCCAACGTCTGTTTGAAAAGTGCAGCAAAGAAGGGGGCGGGTGGAAGATGCTCCCAGGGTTCTAAAGCTATCTGGAGTAGGAGACGGAGAACGAAGGTGTATTTGGTGAGAATGATGCAACACTGACGGTCTCGGTGCCATTGAGCTGCTCCATCACAACCCTGGTGGCTTACAGACCCCAGCGTTTCTCCCAGCTCTGAAGATTGGGCAGTTCAGATCATGGTGCCAGCGGATCTGATGTCTGGTGGGGACTGTTTTCTGGTCACAGATGGCAGCTCACTGTGTCCTTACACAGTAGAAGTAACAAAGCAGTTCTCTGGGACCTTTATTCTAAGAGCAGTGGTCATGATCATGAGCTGGTCACCTCATATAATCACACAGGTAATTAGGCTTCAGTGTGTATTGGGGTCACACAAAGTTTGAGAACACCGAGGGCTTCAGGGGTTACCCGTTTCACTCCTGGCCACGGGGCTAGTGTGCTGTGGTAGTGACCCACAGAAACGGCAAGGATCACAACAAAATTAACACTTCTAGACTTAGGGCACCCAAGAACAGGAACAGCTTCTAGGTTGGTGGTGGCTTTTGTTGTTTGCTGCCTTATTTGTGTTTTCATTGTTAGGACATGGCGTTCCAGCGCAAAGCTCCACACTTCCACGCTGTACCAGGCTTTGAGGGTTGGATTGCTGACTTTCAGCAGTGTGCAGTGCCTACCCCAAGGTAGGACGAGGAAATAAGTTAGAGTGTGATGTGAAGGAACAACAGCAAGACATCAAAAATGGAGTCTTTATGCTTTGGTGTCTGTATGTTACATGCACATGTGCATATGCGTGCATGTTCACGTGGATGTACATACATGGAGAGGTGTGATGCCAGCTGTCTTCCTCTATCACTGTGAACCTTAGTTTTTGAAACAAGGCCCCTTCCCAAACCTGGAGCTCCAATTCAGCTAGGCTGGCTGTCCAATGAGCTCCAAGGATTCTCCACCCGGCCCCCAGCACTGGGGTTGCAGACATACACCACCACATTCAACTTCTCCGTGGGTGCCGGAGATCTGAACTCGGGTCCTCCCCCTTGCATGACAAGCACTTTACCAAATAAGCCATCTCCCACCCGGAGACTTCAGAGCACACGTTTCCCTCTATCTTTTTAAACTCCTGCTGCTGGAGTGATGTCACTGTTACATGTTCATATAACTGAAAGACCTTGGCTCAGTCCCCAGAACCCATGGGGAAAAACATGCACCCTGGTGATCCCACTGCTGAGGAGGTAGAGACAGACAGATCCCTGGGGCATTCTGGCCAGGTACCCTATCCTAAGTGGTGAGTTACACTGTCTAAAGAAACGTGGGGCTGGTGAGACGCCTCAGCTCCCAAAGGTGTTTGCTGTGCAAGTGT